CAAAGATTGCCCTGCTACAAAGAACACACACTGACTGAGCACACACTGGAAGCAGTGTGCTGAATGTTCAGCACAGCTTGGCAGTAGGGCAGGCCTTCCCAAATGATTCTGCATTGCCCTAGTTACAGCAAAAAATAACCAGTGGCAAAGGCTTGCTGTTCATCTCGTGTCTGCTCTGCCACTCTGGGGCAAAGTTAATCTGTAACTAAGTCATTTCACTTGTGAGAAAATCCTGTGTGAAATCAGCATTCCTATAGCATCTGGTTGGTTTCAGGGGTTTTTTTTTATGGATAGGTATTTGTTCTGTGAGGAAATGGAATGGGAATGGTATCACCTGAGTGAAATACAGTGATTCCTTGCTTGTAACTAGGCAATGAGTGTTTTCCCACAGTGTGCCCTAGAAAATGGCATTCTGCTTTTTCTTGTCAGTGTTAGCATCTTGTGTAAACCTGATGAGGCAAACCCTGGCTGCTTGCATCAACCAGGATATTTAGAAGCGTTTGACCTTAACAAGGAATTTATTTTATGTATTTATGGAGATAATTACAAAAGATAAATATGGGTGACTTCTTTTTAAAATGTCAGCATGTTCACCAAGTATTTGAGCAGCTCTGAGGCAGAGCTATTCTGGTCTGCAAGGCAGCTCCATGGCACTCAGTTATTTCTGTCAGCCTGCTGTAAGGTCTAGGAAACACTCTTCTCTGCTTGTTTTTGTGGCTGGTGTGAGGAAGACACCACAGCATTGTGCCTGTGTCACACAGCAAAGAACCCTTTCGACTTTATTTCTCATTACTCTGCAGTAATTGCTCTGCCCACAGAAATTAGGAGGCTTGAAGAAGTAGGAGAAGATGCTTCAGCCAAAGAAATCAAGTCCTGCTTCACCAAAATAGCCCTCTTGTTCTCCTCCTGTGTGTTCTGTGGGTTGGGGGCACTGTGTCTGTTCCCAAACACAGCTCACACTTCAGTTCAAGGCCAGCAGTGCCTGTGGGGGCCTGGTGAAAGCCCTTGCAGAGGGACAGGAAAGCCGAATTGGAGCTTAGAGAAACCCCTGGGTACAACAGCAAGAAAGATTCTGGTAAAGGGAGCCTGTATTTCTGTCAGTGTACCAATTATGTGGGTTTAGTAACAGGCTGTCTGCAGGGCTGGCTATCCCACTTTTTTCATGTGTCAGAAAAGGAATGAAATGCCAGGATTGTGGGAAGAAAACTTTACTATTCTCAAGCTCACCTTCTATTTTTAACTCTGAAATTTCTGTGGTGGAAGCCTTTTTGCCAAGTAGTTGAGCATGTCTAAATGTACAAACTAAGGCTTGGTGTCTGTTTATCTTAGCAGTGGTGAGCTTCTCAGCACAGCAGTGTGATTTAAATCTCATTTACACAAGAAATTTGCTTTGTTAGCGCAAGTAAAGTCTTTGCACATCACATAAAGAAATAGCTTTCACAGGGTTTCTCCTGAGACATCCTCTTGTGGGGAACGTGTGCCAGTGTGTGTGAGATTTTTCTTCTGCTTGTTGCTTAGTCCCACATACAAAATTCAGCTCATTACCATACCTGGCCATTTCACAAAAATCTCCAGTAACAACTGTGGTTGGGAATTGGCTGCTAGTTTATTCTTTGTACTCTTAGACCTGAAATTTGTGTCCTGCACTCTTTCAGAGGAGCTGAATTTGTTGAAGAAATCTCTAGCTGTGGCTGTTTTCTGTTGCTTTCAAGGGCTAAGATTTTTAAGGGTAGCTGGTCACAAACCTGGCAGTTTTCATTCTGGGGGCTCTGTTGCTGTTTGCTCATTTCTTGCTGGTTCAAATCAAACTGATTTGAACAGAGTGGCTGTAGAAAAAGGATGGTTATCTTGATCCTGGTTGTCACAAGTCAGAAAAATGTCACCTGTAAATATTTAATGAACCTTTGTGCAGCTGACCTGATGGAGAACTGAGTAATGATGTGGTTGCAGGAGTTGTGGCTTCTGTAACCCGGATCTGCAAGGAGAGCACCTTTCCTTTGCCAGGCTTTGTATTGTTCCTTGCTTTGTTCTTTGATGTTTTAAGTGGTGTTTGTTTGGAGCTCTGCCTTAGCAGCCTCCTCTTTCTTAGCTGGTTTGGTTTTCTGTGTGTGTTTTCTGTGTGGGCTTTTTGCTCCTTGTAGAAAGGGAGGAGAATTCTCAGTATAAACAAAAGCTGAGCTCTTTTCTTCCCTATATGTGCAGACAATAACTCCCCACCCTTTTATGTTCTTGTAGATTTTTGGTTGATTTTTGCACTCTCCCCCTGTGCTGTGGGGTGAGGTCAAACCCACTTCAGAAGAGTGGGGTGAGGAAAGGGTCTTACACAAAAGAGTAAAACAAAAATGCTCTCAGAATTACATGAGTTGGAACTTAATAATACTGTTACAACTGTTCTAAGAGAAAAGTAATGAAGCATGGAGAAACAGCCTTGATTTTTGGCAGGCTGGTAACTATTGAAGTCCACCATTCAAATCCTCCAGGGACTATGGGATAAAGTTAGGGTAGCTGTGTCTGTATCATGTTCTTGTAGGTTTTAACGTGCTTTCCCCAGTGCCTGATTGCTGGTGTAGTGTCAGTCTGTGGGCAGCAACATGTGACACATTGTGTTGTATCAGCACACTGAATAATTAATATTCTCTGGAAAGGATTACTTTCCTCCACTTTTGTCTCTTCCTTCTTGGTGCCCTGTATGTGCTGCCAGCCTCCAGCAGAACCTTGCTATTTCAGATTTCCTTTCCCAAGAAGAACTGGTGCTGCAGCACAAACACATCAGTGTGGTCTCTGTGCTGTTGGCTGCCACCATGCAAAGCAAACTGGTCACATTTCCTTACACAGTCTTGGGTCATTGTTTCAGAGATGTTGAAGCTCAAAACTTACATGTAGCCTTGAAGACTAATTTTAATAATGTGTCAGTGATTGGGCAGGATGCCCGTTTACCAATATTGTGTTTTATATTTTATAGCCCCTGAAATGGATAGTTTTGTGTGTCAAAATATTTCAGTGGCCAAAGAAGTCTTCCAGCACACTTATGAATTCTCAGCAGCTCTGTGTCTCACAGCAGCAGCTGTGCCTCAGTACCAGTGATAAAGAGAGAGCTCCTGGGGAAGAGCAGAGGGGAGAGGGACACAGCTTTACATGGTGCAGGAAGAGTGGAAACCACTGGGAAAAGCAGTGTGGTGTTTACCCAGGGTGCCTCAGTTTGTGTGAGTGATTTACCCAAGGGGGAAGGACAGAAGTGTGTGCCTGTGCAACTTCTTCCTTAAATAAATACTTCTGCCTGAGAAATGTGTTTGGGTGAGAAAATTCAGCCCAGTACTCAAACACCAGTCCTTGGGAGCCCCTTGTTCTCATCATGCTCAGCAAAGGAAGCTGCACTCACCCAGTCAGGACCACCTTCTTCTAAGGTGGCCTTTGTTCTGTTGGTTTACAAGGCAAACACGGGTCTCCCTTTAGACTTCTCATATGGGCAAAACATTCATTGAGTGCCCCAGCCCCCAGAAATTATCTAGTCATAGAAGTGATTTCAGAAGGTGCTAATGTCAGCCAGCAGGGTGATGTAGAGCCTTTTGCTAAAGGGATTATTACAAGGCCTCAAAAGCTTTGAAATGAAGAATACATCCAATGAAAACACGGAGGCTCCTGGATCAGGAACTGACCTTTACGAATTTCACAATCTGCATCTCTGGACTGGCACAATGGAATTGCTTTGATAACAGTGCCTGGCAGTACAAACAAGACGTTTGGACCTCTGGTTGGGCTTGCCAAAGTGGAAGGTAGCAATTCAGGTACTGGTAATTTGGCTTTTCTTTGCTGTTGAAGGCAAATATCAGACTGACTTCTTTCACAATAATGAACTTAAAATAACTAATTTTTGCAGCAGATCTTACATAATGTAACTTCTGTTACACTTTTTTTTTCCCTAATCAAACTCCAGCAGTTTAATAAACTATAAAGCAATGAAGGTGGTGGAGTCACCATAATTTTTCCTATTTTTGTTGCTGTTGTGCTTTGTTTTCCTCAGAGGGTTAGTCTGGGCTCTGCAGAGTAAGGCCTGGATGAGGTGCTGGCTCTGTGAGTGGGTGGAAGCGGCTGCCACAGAGGTGATGTCTTAGGGGAGCTCTAGGAGAGAGGGAACACGCCAGGAATTCCAGTTCTGTTCCTGCACAAGGCAGCCTGGCAATGTCCATTGGCGCTGAGCTGAGCCCTCAGCACTCGGCCGTGCCCGAGCTCAGACAAGCCCTGAGCAATGCCCAGCTTTTTGAACCCGAAACATTTGGCAACTTGTCACTTTTTAAGAACAATGGACAGTCAGTCTTGCCCCGGCCTGGCAGCAACACAAGTCTCAAAACGCCATCATTTCCCGTTGCCTGGGATTATTTTTGCCGCCAGTTGATGAACGCTCTGGGCCCGATCTGAGGCAGGCACCAGCGGCCTCGGTGCGGCTGCCCCGAGCGGTGAAGTTGTGGTTTTCAGAAGGTGCGTTCTGACCTGTCCTCACCGAACGGGCACCCCCGTCCCCGCTGTCCCCTCCCGTCCCGTCCAGTTCCCTCAGTCCGGGCCCCTCTGTCCCGGGGCCACCGCGGGTCGCTCCCTGAGGGCGGCCCGGCGCGGGGCGGGGCGGGGCGGCGCGCGCCGGCCGCAGTCTTGTCGCTGCCCCATTGGCCACCGCTCCCGCCGCTCCGCCGCGCCATTGGCCGCGCGCGCCACGCCTACGTTCGCGGCCGCGGCCTCTCGGGGTCTGCGCGCCCATTGGCCGGCGCCCCGCGCCTCTCGCCCCCGATTGGCCGGCGGGGCGGCGGGGGCGTGGCGGGGGTGACCCGCCCGGCCACGCCCGCGCGCGGCCGCCGGCGGAGGGGACGCGCCGGGGCGGGGGCGAGCGCGCGGCTCCGCGGCCCGGGGCAGCGGCGGGGGCAGCGTCTGACGGCGGGGCGGCGGACGGACCGACCGACAGACAGACAGACCGATCGACCGACAGGCCGGCGCGGGTGCCTGCGGCCGCCATGGAGGTGTGCGAGAGCGGCGGGGAGCAGCCGCCGCTGCTGCACTGGGACCGCAAGCTGAGCGAGCTGTGCGAGCCCGCAGACCCCGAGACGCTGCTGAGCCGCACGGTGAGGAGCGGCGGGGGCGGGCGGCGGCCCCGGAGGCCGGGGGTGGGGTGGTTGGGCCGCGTTCCGGCGGCCGTGGCGGGATTCCTCGGGCTCCCCGTGCGTGCCCGGCGGGCGCCAGGGTCGGCACCGGGCGGGTCTGGCCAACAGGTGCTCCCCGCGCCCCTCGCCGTGAGTGCACCCCCGGGGCCGGGCTGTCCTCGGGCAGGCCTTGGGGTCCCCTGTGCGCCGAGGGGGGGGGTCTCAGCTCCCTCCCCTCCGAGCCTGGCTCCCGGTAACCGGGGTCCCGCAGCCCCCGCTCCGTCCGGCGCAGCTTCCCCCGCCCGGCCGGGGCTCCCTCGGCGTTGCCGCTTCTCCCGGGCGGCCGCTCAGGAGTCGCCGGCCGTGTCTTCTTCTTCTTAAGGACCAGATTGTCCCGGCTCCATCCCGCTCCCCAAACGCAGGAAGGAAGTGAAACAAGTTTCGATGTTTTTGTTGTTTGTTTTTTGGCTGGAATCCCCATATTTTGGCTTGCGTAAAACGCATAGCTAGGACAGTTCCGAGGAAATGGGTCTGTTGGCTCGCTGTTACTCAGGAGGGAGGCTTCTCGCAAGCAGAGCGATTTAAAACCTCTGCAAAGCCCTGTCGGTGTAAATCCCGAGTGGAAGTGTGCCGGAGCACCTCGGGACAGCGGCGTGGAATTCTCCCCCCCACGCTCGGTGTGGCTGTCGGGCACGTGCTGGGATGGAGATCCAGAGGGACGCGGAGGTGGCGACATCCACACGGGATGTGGCAGCGCCCCGGGGATGGCGCCCCAGGACGGGCTCCGCGTCTCTTCCTTGCACCCTGCAGGAGGGTGATGTGCAAATGCAGCCCCGAGCGAGGCGCCCGGCTCTCCGTGGGAGCAGCGGGGATCCCGCAGCACTGCCCCCGTGCTGATCTTGGCGCTGGTCTTGTAAGGCAAACAAGGAAAACCTTATTTGTGGTGCGTGCTAGTGTGATCCGGGATCGTGTCCGTCACAAGCTCCAAGCCTGGTCCCAGCAGGAAGCGAGCCTGCTGCACGCCTGACGGGTCTTTAGAGAGTGTTTGGCTTCTTTGTCTTTGAAAGTCTTGGGCTTTCTTGCGCAATGTGTGTCTTCTGGTAGATCCGGGGAAAGGCAATCCTGTCATGGTGGCTTGGGCTTTTAAAAGCCAGCAGGAGCGCTTAGCAATGGAAAGCTCTTCCTTCAAACAGCTGTTTTCTTGTGGCTTTTTTTCTTTATCAACAAGAATGTTGTGAATGAAATGAGAGGCTCTTTGGAGAGTGTAGCCCTTCAGATTTTATGGTTGTGCTGGCATACTTCCTCTTGCTCTGTTTGGATCCTTGTGATGAGGATGGAGTTGCCACTCTTAACTTTTGTTTTCTTACTCAGTGTTCTCATGTCTTCTTTAATTAGTGCTTTGAAGGAGATCTTACACTTGGGCTAGAAACTGTGGCTGCAGTGACATGTATATGTCTTTTCTGCCCTATTTCAAGAAGCCTGAGAATTAAGTGTGTCTTGATAAAGAAAACATCCTGTTTGTCTGGTGGATGGAAATGGGATGCTTTTCCCTTTTCTGTTTTCAAGTTTTATTGGGGATTTTCAGCTTTGAATGCTATGATGGTGAGCATTTTGTAAGGGGCAGTGTGTAGCTGGATCTGCAAAATATTGGGCTGTGATGACTTTTGTTGGGAGTAACACTGACATTGATTTGTTTGTGTTTGCTGTCTTGCTGATTGGGTCTTTTTAGAAGTTTAAGATTTCTTTAGAGACCCTCTTGAAGCCAAATAAAAAGCATTAAATCAATTTCTCTTTTTGGTTGTTCTTGGAATTCTTCTGAAAAAAGTTTCAGAAAAAAAATGCCCAACTAAATGCTATAAAGTAGGTTTAGTGAGGTATTGCAATCTTTAAAGAAGAGAGGAATGTTTATGAAATTGACATTCTTTAGAGTGAAAAATTTCTTTTGTGCATGTGCTCTGCCATGTGGAGGAGAATACCATGCTTAATACCATAAAACACAAGGTTTCTATTTACCTCTGGCCAAAACTTCACAGAATCATTTGAAAAACCCAAAACAAACAAACAAGCTCTCTGGATGAAACATCTGTTCTTCTCCTGGGCTGTGCTTTCCTTCTGGGAGGACTGGTTTGACCCTGTTATTCTGCTGTTTGCCAACTTACTGCAGGGTTTTTCTGGAAAGATTGGGATGATGAGGAGACCCTTCCCGTGCCCCCTGCGCAGGAGTGCCCACACCCTGTGCTGGCTGTCACCCTCACAGCCAAGGAACACGGGTCCTACAGCATCTTCTGCTCCTCACACACTCCTCAGGTGCCCCTTAGCTGGATGTGCAGGTCTGCATCCAAGAAAACTTGGGAAAAGCCTCTGGGACAGTCAGGGCAGCCCTGGGAGCACAAGCTGGACCGGCAGGGGCAGGAGGGAGAAGATGATGATTGAGGGGAGAGCTCACCAGCAGGAAGAAGGGTCAGTGTCATTCCACCTGTGTGTATGGACTGGTGAGGGTGAGAATTTTGTGCCAACTGCTTTTTGTGTGTTTTGAGTTGAAATTTAACCTTTCTATGACCAAAAAGGCTGCCCCTGGCTCTTGTTGATTTGACACTAGCAGACAAGTGTGAAAGTATGCATACACTTAAAAACTTGACCTCTATTTTAAACTGTTCCAGCCTGCCTTAATTACCAGGGCTGAAATCCAACCTCCTGGGGATTTACATTTCTCTTTAACAGCTGATGATTTCACCAGTGCCTGGAGCTGTGTGAGGAGCCCTTCCCTCACCCCACTGGTGCTGTCAGTGATACCATCAGCTGTACCTGGAGAAAGTGGGGCCTTGAGGAGCTCAGCTCTGCTATTGGCAGGCAGCAATCCTGGAGGTTAAAGTCTCATTAAAGTCCTCACCTGCATGCCAGATAGCTTTATAGCAGTTATTTTTCCAGAGTGGTTTCCCATGGAAGCAAAGGCTGAAAGGTTTCCCAGAGGCGTGTTCATGGTATGTGTCACGTGTCTGCATTATATAATCAATCTTCAGCTGTGCTGTAGCTTGTTGTGACTGTGTTGGTAGTACCATGTGCTGGCACTGTGCAAGGCAGTGTTGTTATTATTATTAGTGTTATTATTGTTAGTTTGTGCTTTTTTGGTGGTTGAACAGAAGAGAAACACAACACCTGCCACTGTCCAAGGGGAGCAGGAGTGCGGCAAAACCTCCAGCTTCTTGCTGCTGCTGTTACTTTCCATAACACACAGGTGGGCCTGAAGTGTGAGGGCTCTGCTGGAGGCCCTGGGGCTCCACTGGAATTGGTCTGTGGTTGGACATGGCCCAGCTGGGACCCTGTCTTCTCTGACAAGTGCCACATCTGATGTAGGTGGATAAGTCTGACAAACACGCCATGAAATGCCAGTTACCTGTCCCATGGCTGGATGGGGGCTGAAAGGCAGGTGGTTCTTGGACATTTTTATTTCCTCCCCCCATTTTCATGGCTCTTTTAACCCATGGGATGCCGCTTCCAGATGGTAGCAAATGCAGCAGAATGCAAGCATGGATGTGATCATGGCATGGCACATGTAGAACTGCAGCTGCCCTGCAGGTATGCGGGACAGCAGCTGGCTCAGATATTTAGGACTAAATTCCTAGATGTCATATCCTGGTTGTTTGGATGAGTGGTTAACTGGAAAGTAACTTCAAGTGCCAAGTAGCCCAAATGGGTTATTTGTTAAAGAGCCTGCCTATTGCACTTGGAACTCATGAAAGCATTGAAATTAGTGAGATGTCACACTGCATTGAAATTGGTGAGATGTCACATTGCTGCTGCTGTTGCCTGGGTGGTGTCTGAGCCCTGTGATCCTGTTTCCATGTCACTGGTGCCCTGTGATCCTGTTTCCATGTCGCTGGGGATGCTGTGGGCAGCTCAGCCCTGGCTCAGGGGTGCACTGTGGGTTGGAATGAGAGGAGGAGGCTTCCCAGGCTGCAGCGAGCAAGTTTCTGTCTCCCTGTGAAAGCAAAGCCAAAGGTGAAGGTTAATGGTCAGGGTTGTGATTGTCATCTAAGATGAGCTGGGGAAACTCTGAGCTGGCCTTTCCTCTCCATCACAAACCTCTGAACCTCAGAGGAGCTCGCCTGGTGACTCATTTCCTCTGCCACAGAAACGATGGTTGCTGCTGCTTTGTGTGTCTAATGACTTCTGCAGGAAAGCTGCTTCTGGATGAGCTGCCAGGGAGTGCCTCGAGCTTTTGGAGCAGGGCAGTCGTTATTTTAATGGATGGCAGGGCTTGATTTTTACAGTCTGTGTGTATTTAATTGAAAGCTGTGGTTGCTGCAGCGGGTGTGGATGTGGAGCTGGCTGTATCTTATTGTGTGGTGGCTGCATGTAGCTCTCTGGTGTCAGTATAGTTGGATCCAATTTCTCTTTCATTTGGGTAGGGGGAGAACTACTTCATTTATTTGCACGTGGGGTTTGGTCTGTTGCCCACAAACCATAAAGCTGAAATCCCTCATTCTTTCTTCTCTATACACCTGCAGCTGGCTTTACGTAAAATATTTGTACAGTCAGTACTTGGAAAGATTTTTCCAAAATTGCAGTGAGGAGGGGAAATGAGAAAGTGAGATTTTTAAATAGTTGTATACAGAGCTCATACAAAGCAGTAGTGTTAAATTTTGTCAATGACTTTCCATATCAATAAAAAAGTCAACATCACAACTGCTGAACAGCAAAATTAGTTGTACATGGTGCCTTGCACTGAAAACCATTTCTCCTCGTTTTCTTCCCTGATTTAAATAAGAAAACTATTCCAGTTTGCCAAGAGACATGTCACTTACTTGTAATGGGTCTAACTGATCTACAGTTCCTCTAAAAGCTGAGATAAACACAAGTAGGAGACCCTGAAACTTAACCCTGCTGTTTTCTGACAGTTAAAATTAGAAAAATGGGGGTATTGAGTTGCTGGCTGTAACCGTATAGTGAAGTGCGTGATCTGCAGTGAAGACAGGAGCTGG